CCGTATTGTAGTTTAAAATGTTCAATACGGCCGTACTGAACTTTTGGGAGGCCGTATTGGGCTTCATTCCCTCCACTTTCTTATTTTTTTGCTACTCTAAGACCTCTAAACCTACAGATTGTCATCCTAGGGTCTTCTAGGGTCTTCCAGGAGTCCTTCCGGCTGACTTTCCTTTGGTCTTCAAGAGTCTTCAAGCTTTATTTCCTACCCGGACAATTTTAGGGGTCTACAGGAGTGTGACCCGGCGGTGGAAGGGCGAGCAGGTTGTTGTTGCTGGCTTCTTCCAGAATGTGTACCCTGGGTGCGTTCAGGGGAGTGTAGAAGTCGTATCTCCCCCCTCTGTTTGCTCTAGCCGACTTCTTGAATTAGCTGTCATTGTTGACTTTTACTTTATCTTTGTGGCCCTGTTCTGGCTTCACGGGGCCATTTCCGCGAACCTGGTCACGGAAGGCAGAGTGCTCCTCCGTCTGAATGTAGCCTGCGGTGCGGGCGCGCAGCTCGTCCACGTCGCAGGGGGTGTCGCGACATAGGCTATCAATGAATGGCCTGGGTTTGAGTGCCATGAGCATGGCGTGCAGGGCGACCTCGGGATTCAAGTTCCGGATTCTCACCGAGATGCCGGAGAAGCGCTCCATGAATGCTCGCAGAGGTTCATCGTCATTCTGTCTGAGGTTGGCTAAGGCGGCCAAGGTTGTGTGGTGAGGTCGGCTGGTGGCGTACTGCGCCATGAATCGCCTTATCAGGGTACTAAAACTGTCGATGGACCCGGCGGGTAGTTGGGTGTACCAATGAAGTGCGGCTCCCTTGAGTGAGGTCGGAACAACCCTACACAATATAGCGTCACTCTTAGTGTAGAGGTTTACCTGGATTGTATACGAATCGATGTGTTCGTCGGGATCCGTTGTGCCGTCATAGCGGTCGAGGTGGAGGGGTTTCCACCTGCGGGGTAATGGGGTCTCCATAATGCCGTCCACAAAAGGATGACGGCGGAAGGGTTCTTGGCCCTCCGAAACATGAGTGGGGTCCCTGCTGGTGCCCTGCCCCGACTTGTGCGTCGACGCATGAGATCGGTGCGTGGCGGGCCGCGAAGTTGGTGCCTTGGTCGTCGCCCGGGATTGGGAGGCTGATTGTGCCTCCTCCTCATGAGTGTCGCTCTCGTGTGGAGGCTGATCGGAGTGGTGTCGAGGGAGTTGGGCGCGAATGTGCTTATTCTCGACACGTAATGTTGCGAGGTCTGCTTCATTGGCAGTCCGTATCGCCGCTAGGTCGCTTTCGTGCTGGGCACGCATATTTCGAAGGTCGGCATCGTGTTGTTGCCGCATCTGTTCGACTTGGTCGATCAGCCGCCTCAAGGTTGCAGCGTCGCTATCCATAGTAATAGAGTGGTCTACGTCGTCTGCTACTCGTCTGATATGGCTTCTAGTGGAAACCATACAGGTGGCCGATAAGAGCTGTCTTGATCGGCCCCACGGTGGGCGCCAAATGTTCTTACCGGAATTTGTCATAGGGACGATCTTCCGAGTAAGGTCGGTGAGCCTCTTTCACTAGTATTCTGATGCTCCAAGATGGGGGTGGTACCTGCAAAAGAGACTCCGATGCTAAAGTTAGGGTTTGTATGAGTAGGAATCTCGTATAAGTAATGCACGTACCTTAGTGTGAATTAGGGTTGTTCTGGGCTCTAGGCCTGAGATAGGATATGATAAGATTAGATAATATATCTCGTCTGGGGCGAAATCTCTTGAGATCATCCACCTATAAATGTGTACTCCTTGCCTTGTACAAACACTTTTGATGATATTGAATTTCTGAATTGAATTTTCAGCAAATCTCAAGAGTTATCGAGTTCTAGAGAGAGCAAGAGAGAGTGCCTTCAAACACGTTAGGAATCCCTAGTTCCTTCCCTTTGAAGTGAACAATCTCTTGATTGCTTGAGCTTGGATGCTTCCCTCTAAGGCTTAGGCCTTCATTCCGCAAGTTCTTCTTCTTCTAAAGTGTTCATCAATTCAATGTTATCTCCATTAAAGTGGATCCGTGCCTAGGAGGAGCTTAGGAGGACTTCAATCTTCACTTCTCCTACTTCTTCTATCACCTACCATTATCATCTTAAATGTGATCACAACCTAAAGAATCTCTTCCACCTTGAAGATCACTTTTGAAGCCCCATCAGAATCATACCAACCCTTGAAAGAAAGTGAATTGTTCTTTTGAAATCTCATCAACAAGGTGGTCAACTAATGTTTGCGTTCCCCTTTATGTGAGTTATTGCTTGAAAGGAAGTATGGTTCCTCCAGAATGTATTGTTTTAAATGTTACCGGAGGAAGTATGGTTCCTCCAGTAGGAGCAAGCCATACTTAGCACCTATGAGTCAATCAGGTGTCTGTAAGGGGAGCTAGTCATCTTAGTCAATGAGTTAGCAACCAACCATAAGCCAATCTACATGCGGGGGAAATGTGGGTTCTAGTATTTCAAGTGTGGTCATTTGAGGCACAAGTCATTTGCTTGTCCAAAGCAGAGGGTCACTTGCTACAATTGTCAATGGAAGGGGCATTTCTTGAGGAATTGTCCTAACCCTAGGAGGGACTTAGTGAGTGCTAGCGTGAATGGTTTCTCCAAGCAAATAAACAAAAGGCCTTTATTTGGTAGAGTATTTTCTTTGGGTGGTGTTGAACTCACAATCTGGTGATTTCATCCAAGGTATTTTCACAATTAGTGGAGTTCCTTTAGTTACATCTACATGGCTTTATAGATGTCTATTAGTAATCCAATAACATTCAAATGTGGAATCTTCAATCTTACAGTGTTCAAAAAATCCAAAGAAGCACACTCAGACGCAGACGCACACACGCATGTAGATGCAGACACACAAACAACATAGACACACAAACAACATAGACACACACACATAGACACATAAACACACACACACAAACACAAACATACAGAGACACACACACAAAGACACAAATAGACACACAGACACATGCACAAATAGACACATGCACGCACACACACACACACACAAACACACAGACAGATATACAGACACACACAGAAACACATAGACACACACAGACGCACACACATGCACGCAGACGCACACACACACGCACGCAAATGCAGACGCACACACACACACACAGACACACAGATACACATGGACACACACGCTCGCACATACACACAGACATACGCACACACGCACACACGCACACACGCACGCAGACGCAGATGCACAAACACACACAGAGATAGACACACAATCACACAAACACACACAGACATCGGACAAACACAGACACACTCACATGCACACACACAGACATACACACACATGCACACGTACATTCACATGCACACACACACGCACGCAAACGCCCCCCCACATAGAGAGACAGACACACACATAGACACACACACACGCACACACACACAG